GGTGAGGTGTGCCTGGTTGTGGGAGGGGGGTCCAATCCCCTTCTCTGTGCCCTGGGACCCTGGGCAGGCCCCAGGGCACTGGCACAGTATGCCTGGTTATGGAAGGGGTGTCCACTCCTTTTCTCTGTGCCCTGGGTCCCCAGGCAGGCCCCGAGGCACTGGCACAGTGTGCCTGGTTGAAGGAGGGGTGTCCAGTCCCCTTCTCTGTGTCCTGGGTCCCCAGGCAGGCCCCAGGGCACTGGCATTGTGTGCCTGGTTATGGAAGGGGTGTCCACTCCTCTTCTCTGTGCCCTGGGTCCCCAGGCAGGCCCTGAGGCACTGGCATGGTGAGCCTGGCTATGGGAGGAGGGTCCAGTCCCCAGCTCCATACCCTGGGTCCCTGGGCAGGCCCCGAGGTGCTGGCGAAGTGTACGTGGTTGTGGGAGGGGGTATGGTCCCCTTCTCCATGTCTCGGGCCCCTGGGTGGGGCCCTGATGCACTGGCATGGTGTGCCTGGGTCTGGGAAGGGGGTCTGGTTCCTAGCTGCTAGCTCTGGGTCCCTGGGTGAGACCTGAGGCATTGGTGGTGTGCCTGGATGTGGGAGTGGGGTCTGGTCCCGGCTCTAATCCTCAGGTTCCTGGGCAGGGCCCTGAGGTGCTGGTTGTGTGAGTGGTTGTGGGTGGGGGTCCTGCCCCTGGCTCCATACCTCATGTCCCTTGGTGGGCCCCAAGGAATTGCTGGCATGCCTGGGCCAGAACCAACTTTTTGTCCTATGCTTACTTCTAACATGGAGGAATTTCCTTTGGGAACCGGTACTTGAGCTGTGTGGTTGAGTAAATTGCTGCTTTGCTGCTGAGTCCCTAGGGATGGCTTTTTGTGCAGCTCAGGGTTCCCAATGGTTGACCTTATAGATACTTCTAGCTCTCGAGGTACTTGGTGCACCTGGTCTATGTAGAAACTCTGATCTGGGCCTGAGTTTTTTCATCAAATTGCACCCCATGCAATTCTGCANGCCAGAACCAACTTTTTGTCCTATGCTTACTTCTAACATGGAGGAATTTCCTTTGGGAACCAGTACTTGAGCTGTGTGGTTGAGTAAATTGCTGCTTTGCTGCTGATTCCCTAGGGATGGCTTTTTGTGCAGCTCAGGGTTCCCAATGGTTGACCTTATAGATACTTCTAGCTCTCGAGGTACTCGGTGCACCTGGTCTATGTAGAAACTCCGATCTGGGCCTGAGTTTTTTCATCAAATTGCACCCCATGCAATTCTGCATTCTTGACCAGTCTCCTCTGAGTGGTCCTGCACTGATTGGGGGGTGGATCAGCTGTCCTGGTTGTGTCCCAGTGTTCTCCAGGTGGACCTGTCTCCCCCACCACCCATGCTCCAAATAATTCCCATGGGACAGGCCCTATGCTGGTCCTTTGCGATGACTCATCAGCTTCTGAACAGCTCCCCTTTTCAGCTGTTCAGGCTCCTTGTTCCTGCACGGGTCCACAGGAACTCTATTAGTGGTCTTGCTGTCCTGGGGGCCACCAAAGTCCTCTTCTCCCCTTCCACTTCCAAGTAACTCCCTCTAAAGGGCACAGCTGCAGTTTCTGCTGGCTCCTGCTCCGTGTGCTCCAGCATTAAAGCAGCTGCAGCCGGAAATGCTGAGAGCAGTTTTTTCTTTCTCTCATAGGGGTTTCTCCTGCCTTCATGAACTCCATAGATCTCTCCTCCTCTTCCCCTGAGCTCCAGTGGCCCC